GCTAGGAGTATTTCTACTCCCCCTGGACGGGACGCTAGTCCATCGCAGGTCACTCCCCCGCAATCCGTTAGGTTTTCCAACAATTCGCCGGTACCCATTTACACTCCTGGGTGGAGAGAGAGGCACTGTGAGAGTTTAAGTGTCTTGCCGAAGAACACAAGACAGTGTCCCAGGCCAGGGCTCAACCCCGAACACTAACCATGAGGCCACCGCGCCTCCCTCAGTACAATGACTGTGTACATTTCTTTGCAGTCCTTTGCAAAACAACAACGCGAAATCACCAGGTTCTGCGTTGCCCCAAGAACGTGAACCACGAAGTGTAATTTTTTAAAATTTTATCAGTTCAAATTTATCTCTGGGTCCAAGATTCAGTTTCCTAATAGTTTTGACAGTGATAAACAAAGTAAAGGACTTCAGAGTATCGCGACATTCGTAGGTAAAATATAAAATCATTTTTTAATCGACGTTGTCCTCGGCGTCACCGTCGTGGTTACTTAAAGTAAAAAGTCCAAAGCGCGCCCTGACCTTGTGTTCGACCAAATGAGTCGTAAGCGAAAGAAGCTTTTTACATGCCACCTGTAATAAATTGAAACGCATTTAAACAATATCTTACCTTTAATGCTGGGTTTTGCTTGTTGTGGGTGTGCTCAAACGCTACTGGATATAGGAAGGGATCAAGGGACCTAAACTTTCATCTATTGTGGTAGCAACCGAAGAAAGAGTTTAATGCAGGCAGGTCACTTTTACAACATAGTACACTAAAGGCTTAGTCAAGCAAATAAAAAAAAAATCGAAATTTCATCCTATCCATGGATTTCCTAATCCTAAGTAAACATAATATATTTTAAAACCTTATTTTGGCAGCCAGACCTAAATAAAGCAAATCACCACGTAATTCTTACGTTAATTTTCTATAGCAACAGGATAGGGGGGAGGATACCAATAACAGATCTTTTCAGATTTATCCGCATCCGATCACATTATACAAACTGTTAATTTGTCCACTTACCCTGAAATTCCTCTGAATAGAATTGGCAAAGATTGATATCGTTTGCGAGGCTTTCTTCAGGGGCTGACAATATTTGAAAAGTGGGGATAAAAAGGACAGGAGATGTCAACAAAGAGCAGTTAGCTGTGGTCTCTCCGATGCCGTGTAAAGAAGTGGTAGTCAATATTCATACAATAAGCGTGGTAAAGTCATGAGGGCCGATACGTTAACTGCCCCGAAAAACCATAACTCAACTGAATAATATATATATTTATGTGTGCTTTTTTCACGGGCCTACGCCAATCGTTTGTAAATTACCTTCGTTTAAGAGCAATCTTCCTTGACTGATATCTGTTCCTTTAAATTGATGGAATAAATCATGAGTGGAATAAATTGCCTACTCGGTTAGAACGTGTAGCGTCCCGCCAATTGACAGTTAAAGTTGTCATGGCAGGTTAATATCAAGCGAGGAGCGTGTGTGGAATATAAACCTTTCTCAAATTTCAACTGTTATGTGTTATGAATTTCAAATTATTTTCGTAAATCGTTGCCCACCTCTTGGTTTGTTTTATTACTCTGATAAGCCAGCTTTAGTTTATTCAGGCATCCAATTATTAGCTTGAAATGTCAACCACCGCCTCGTCATTTTTTCAGAAGTGTCAAACAATCC